AATAAATTTCTGATAAGGAAATAAATTTTCATTATTAATAGTGACATAAGTTAGAAGTTTATTCTATAATAAACAGACATTTAATAAAATAATTGTATACAATTTTTTTTATGATAATTTAAAAATAATTAACTGATAATTATATTTTGATGATAGTCACATTTACAGTTTAGATTTATGTTTATCTATGAATTTTAAAATTTTATGTATTTAATTAGAGAAAATCCTTGAAATATGCGAGAGGAGGCCGAGAAATGTCTAATGATTTATAATTGAAAGTTATCCACAGTTATTTTAAATTATTAGATAATTAACTTAATAAGATAGAAAATTAAAAGGTCTTTTATAAAAATGCCCAAATTTTCAGACATTTCTCAACAATTTCCCTCGTACTAAATAATTGGAAACTTTACAGCACTGATCATTAGACTATTTAATTTTTAATTGTACATTTATACACTGCGATTTAATTTGACACATGATGAATGAACTTGATAATTTAGACGCAAAAATAATCTTAAGTATACTATGTCTCTTTTTGATATTTTTACTATATAAATAACTTAGTCATTCAAAGGAAATTCAGAGCTATTACCATGTTATACATTGAACTGGAGCAGAATAGTGACGGACCAAATAAGAATGAAGTCTTCGAATAAAAGAATGAGAGATCGTTATTGTAAATTTCTTAAATTATCTGTGGAAAACATTTCGGAATTCATATGTAGAGTTTAGAAGTTAAATGTTTTGTTTATTTAGGTACACGTAGAGTAAATATTAGCTAAGGTTAAAATATTTGTATCAAACGTATCCTTTTTTTTAAAGAAGTCGTTAGTCATTTATAATTTAATTGGTACACTCATAATTTTCTGATAGCACAACAATTTAATAGCTACTATGCAATTACAAATTAGTAGAACAAGTTTAATTTGTTTTAAGTGGAGTCAATTAAAAATTTCTAATGGGTCATTTTCAGTTTATTCGACACGTTTGTAATTAAAAATGTCCATAAAAATTGGATTTGTATTGAAAATTACGAAGGAAATCTTACTTTTAATTAGTTTACTTAACATCAGAGGTAATTATTTTAATGACGACACTTAGCTGTACTGTTTTACAGTTAACTTCTTCATTGTATCACTTACGTCAATATATAAGTAGTTCTTTTGGAAAATTTTTGAGTATTATTTTTAAATCAATAATTAATAAGATTATAAATGTCACTGTATTTATCTAGAACAATAATTTACAGAATGTAATTGAAATATTTACCACTTACAGAAATTTGTTAAAATCTTAATTACAAATAATTTTTTTTGTTTATTCAATCCCATTAAATTAATAATTAATATCATTCAATTAATGTTTAATGTTAGGTTGAGCAAATTACTTTATATGAAATGTTTAATAGTAGTTGTTTTAGCTAGGGCTGTTTAATTAAAATGAAATATTTCTTAAATCTTTAGGTCCCTTTTATTTGGACTCGAGTTGAATTTTTCATTGCCATTCTGCATTTTTAAAATCATTTCGAAGTATTACATAAAAATTTGTGTATTTTGAATAAAAGATTATGAGATATTTGAACTTATAATTCTAAGAATTAAAGGACTGTATTATGTATATGAAGAATTTAAGGTAACTAGAAAATTGACTAAGAAACTAATGAATGGGTTTATGATTCATTTATGACGTTATTATGTATTTTTATTGTAAACGTTATCAAGATTAAACTTTTGAGCTATATATATTTTCCTTTTATTCTAATTTTTATTATAATAATTAACTATTTCTAATTATTTATAATTAACATTATAGTTATTCAAATTAATGATTTTATGACCAGAATTGTTCCGAGAGGGGTGTGTGAAGCGTCCACTCCCCCACTTTGCAATATTATCGTTTTATTCGATAATTATTTAATATAAGAGAATTCTACCAACAAGTAATCATTAAAAAAAAAATGGATAAGTCTAAAACAATTATTCAATCGCCAAAAATAAATTTTTCACCTTCATATTTCCCATTTTTTTTTAGCTTTTGGGCGTCTCTGTATGTCTCTGAACCACATTCGGTTAAGTTATGCGCTCCTTTTCCGACAAGGGTGACAAATATTATTTTAGGCTATGGTCTAGTCGTCTCAGACCGTAGTTTCACCTGTATTTGTGAATAATTTTTTCTAAAGCTAAATTTGTTTTTATCATTTAGGTGATAACTAATTGAATTACGTTACTAATAATTGTGACTTGTCGTCTACAAAATGCTACCATTGATATTTTCATGATTTTTGTACTTAATTTGATAAAATCTTAAGACGATCAATGCGTCAATGGTCACGTAACATTGACCGGCGCCAGTTGTATACGCAAACATCCGAGAAAACAAAATGCAAATTAAAGTAACAACCGTATCATCACAGTTAACAAAGCCGTATTGCGTATTCTCTCAGGTGAGAAGCCAAATTCTATGGGCGTCTTTAATATTTTTCGCTTCGTAGTATGAGGCTCATACGTCACAATAAGCGTGGCTTAAACTTGGCGCGACTAACCGCTGTTTTGAACATTTTTAAAAATAATGTGGTAATGGCCGGGCTCCGAAGAGACATTTAACGCGGAAAGCTGCGACAAGTCGTTAAAATATCGCATTTACTGTATTTATCCTCTCTCTCATTCTCGAGAAATTCAAGTACAAAATAATAAACTACTAAAATCGTCCGGCGCGCAGCTCCCTCGCCGTAAAGTGTATAGATAGTTTATTTTTTCTCACGTTGACCGGTCGCAAGGTCAACAGGATGTCTATTTTTAGATCAACTCCTCCTCCGTAACGGACCCGATCAAGTGTAGGGTATTCCCTCTCTTACCGTTATATTGGTTTTACTAAGTGGCTCAAAATTCGTTACTAGAAGCTAAACAATATTGCACACAGGACAACAAAAATATTGTGAAAATCGGGGTGAGAGAGAAAGAGTACTTGCGTATACCTAAACGCAACATATAATGGCGTGACGTGTTCGGTATGCCACACACTAGCACATGTTGATCCAAAAAGCGGACCTGTCATTGTACACGTACGCCAGTGGTCGCAGTTGCATAGCTAAGATTGCTGGTTTATCATGTACTCTGGTTTATGCATAAAAGATGTCTTGTCATTGCATTATATTGTTAAATTCTGTTGACATTGAGTTAATGGAAGTAGTAAATAGAAATGTTACAATAAATTAGTAGGCAAATAAAAATTTATCAAAAATTTTCTAATCGCACACATTTATTTTAGTTAAATCATGCACATACACCGTAAAGTATAATTATTTAAATAGAAAATTATAATATGTAGATATATGCGATTCATGTAGGTCCAGAATTTTTTTATGTGCCTTATTTTTTTGTAAAAGGTTGGAATTAGTGATTTTATGATGTTTGGGAACTACTTTATTTTAATTTTTAGTTTTGAAGGTGAAATGTTGTTTTTTCCTGTATGGTAACCGCTGATGTAACTAGGTGAGGACTTGAGGGTATTAGCCCCCATAAGCTTAAAATTAACCCCCCTCGAAATCATGATGTCTAGTACTTCAATAGGGCGTGGTGTGGCGCGGTGGTCACACTAGTTGTTGACAAAACTCTAGTGTTAAGCCGCGCCTACCGCCGTAGGTGAACGGATGGGTGACCATGCGTGCGCTTCTACGGTGGCGAAAAGCACCATGTTCCCAATGCAGAAGGCAACGGGAAACCACTGCACATAAATTTCCCCAGGATATACCAATGGTATTAACCAACCTAACGGTTGTAAAAAAAAAAAACTAATAATAATAACATTCAGCCTCATATACTTAAACTTCTAGTTAATGATGGTTACAGTTTAGCTTATGAAAACACATTAAATCATTAAACCCAATCATGAGATTCTAAAAATATTGCTTTATTGATATAATTTGGAGAGGATAACAACATTTTTTAAACGTCTATGCTTAAAATAATAAATATTATTTTTCGTTCATTTTGAAAAAGTTGGAATTTTTCAATTTGAAAAATGTGCAGGGTAACTTTTGGCGATTAGTATTTTTTTTATTTACTAATAATGAATGGTTATAAATAACGTGTAGTACACTTACTAGTCTAGTCTAGTCTAGACTAGATTAAAATTAAAAATTCCCTTTTTAATCGCAAAGAAAAGTTTTAGAGACTAGAATATTTAAATATAGTTTCAATATTAATATCTTTTAGCATTAACATTAATATCTACTAAAAGATTAAAGAATCATCATTTAGAAGTGTGTTTTATGATTGATAAATTACATTTTGATATAGACTAAATTTATTTCATTTAACTGCAAAAACTTGTAATTGTAGTGCACCTAGTAATTTATAATTAGGGAATATTAAAATGATTATATAAATGTTTTTATATAATCATTTTAATATCTTATTTATTGGTATTTATTAAGTTATTTTAAACACCAAGACTATGTTATTTTTCAGGGGTAGTTTTAATTCTTTGAATCTGATATCAGTTTTGTTTATTTGACCATTTGTTTTGAATTTTATTAATAATCAATTATTTAATGTAACAAATACAATATTTCTAGGAAATTCACAGGTATAAACATTTATCAAATATTTGCATTATTATATAAATAGTTAACTGAATTTTAATTATAGATTTAAAAATATTATGTTCTGAGATAAAAAACTATTTGATTAAAATACACATGTATGTTTATTTTCGAATAAAAGTATTTACATATTTTACTGGTGTCGCTATCTTTGCGTATTTAAATATATTATGTCTACTTAATAAAGTTGATAGAGCGAGTTTATTTTTATAAAGTGACAATGTATAGCTTTATGTTTTCAATTTTTTTAAACATTCGGTTTAAAAGTCTATATATATTATATATAGACATATTATAGTATGTATCGTACAGAGTGATCAGTATATTTTAATTTATTTTAATATTATTAGTGAAATTACATCTAATAAATGAAATTACCTTAATTCATTATCTTTTTATTTTTAAGTTTTCAATACATATGTATACATATTACAGCTAAACAAATAATTTCGTTTTTCCAAAATATATAAACTTAATACAAAGTTTGCATATAGTCAAGCTTCACCATATTTGGATTTTAATCTACAGTTATATAAATGTTGACCAGTTTGAAAATTTTTTTTCATTTTGCTATTAGGAGATTTTCCCATGTGAATGGGAAATCCCAAAAATCATAATTTTTACACATATTTTGAACATGAGTCCTATTAGCCTTTCTCAAATTAATTTTATCACCTTAATTTCTCTTGTTATCACATTTCGTTTAAAATTTCTCGAGAGTTTTTGAAGGATACTGGCAATGAATTTGTTTGAGAAACTGAAAGAGCGAGTATGCAGTCAGAGCGATGATTGCATACTGATCAGATTTAGAGAAAATGGATTAACCTTGACGGTAATTGACAGTGTTATGTAATTTTTTATCTGGTAATTTTATTAGAATCCTTATTTTTATCATAAAGACTTGCTTGACATGATAGGTATATAGATTTTGGAAAAAAATTAACTTTGAAAACTTAATTTTAAGACGTTATTCATATATATAAATGGGTATACGTATTTTTTTTTTAGGTGGGGTAAATTCCATTTGCTACCATTTCGATATATTTTTTTTAATTTACTCATGTGCATATCAATGAAGTTTATAAAATACCAGGTGAAATAAGCAAAAAAATATTGTTAAGTTAATCGTATGATAGTTAATTTGATTAATAGTTGACTTAAAATTATTGCATTTAATTTATGAACGATTGGTTTTTTAACTAACTATTATTATTATATTATAAACTATTATTATAAATATTTAAGCATATGCGGTGATCGTTGGAATATCATTTCCATTAACAAGAATGCACAAGGGAAGAACTCTTGTAATTGTATCAATCCAACACATATGAATTATGTTAAATTCCATTATTGGCTTTGGAACTGATCTGAGAAAAAAAAATTGAAAATGATTGTTACAAAATATGACAAAGTATGTATAATTTGCATATTATAAAACTTACAGTATAATCAATGTCGCTTCCATTGAATGAATTTCTATTAAATCTCTTACAAATAACGTTTTACTTGTATTTTCTATACTAAACCTATGATTGTATAGTTGATTTTCTAAACAAATAGAAAAAACAATAATATAAAAAATACTATGAACATTAATACCTCAGTTTGCATTGAAGTAAAATAATACGAATTCGAAGGGAATAAAAAAAAAAAAATTATCACTATGGAATATTAACAGGAGAATAAATTGTAAATTACCATTTATTCGTTTTAATAAAGAAGAGAAGTACAATAATGTTGAATGGCTCGTACTTTTGGCTTCAATTATTTCCACAAAATCAAAATTTACACGGAACATGGTTAAAAGTTCTTTTAATCTGTTAATCAGAGTTTCATTAAATTTAATAATACAACATAAACTTTCAGTAATACACATATATTTAAGAAATTAACAATGAAAATAAAAGAACTAACTAATTATATATGTTCTTTATTATTGATGGCAAGAGATTTTCAAAATAGTAAATGTAAAAAAAAATAAAATTAGTCAACATGGATGATAAATATCATCTTTGTTTTTTAACGTATCAAAAAGCTTGTATGTTAACGAAACAAAATTTTAATAATTTTTAACAATATTTAATAATTAATTTGATTTACTTTTTTTTTTCAATTTCCATGTTCATAGCTTCTGCAACACCAAAAATTCGGAATTTGCAATCCTTCCAAAAAATACTGGATTTTATTAAATAAGCGATAGTTAAGGATAATCCTGTTAGATAAATAAATTTAATGAATTATTCTTTCATATTAATCTCTACCATAATAATATGATATCTTCATAATAATACTGTGGTTGTATTTAAGCTCTTAAAATGTTAAGTTATATTTTGCATGACGCATATAACTTTTCCTTGAATCACAACCTTAAAACAAATGATGTTACTCTATATGTTATATTTGAAAACGAGTTTAACCCATAAAATTCTTTTATAGAACATCTAAATAGAAAACGTGATTAGAGAAATTTGTAACTTTCTATTTGGATTATTGACTTAAATTTTTCTTATCTCTTCAATCTTATTCTTAAAATTATTAATTTGTAGTTTCATCAATTTTTTTTGTGAGATAAATTATATAGCTTTATAATTTAATTATATATACAGGGTGATTTTTTTTATCATAACCCACTCAATTACTTACAGAATATTAATAATTTATAAATTTTTTTTTATTAATATCTTTAGTTACACATTATTCTTGAATTATTAACTATGTAATACTTTTTAAGTTCATCCCTTATGCCTGGTAAGGGTGTCAACTTTGTTTATTTATATGGTAACACATATTTTTAATTTAATAAAATGTTTGAGTTTTTAATTCAATAGTAAATGGCATTTGAATTTTTAATGAAACTTAATTTGTTTATTAGATATAAACATTTAAAGTTTCAAATTTTTGAGTTAATATATAGGTATAATACACAAGGGATTACAAATACAGGTAGCTAATTGGTTTTTTATGATATTGCTATCACAGCCACGGATTGTTTATTATCAATTATGACTATCAATAGATATACTTTTTGTATTGTCAGTTAGTGTATTTATAAACTCACAACAATGTACCTTACTATCATTGATAATAACAATGCTGTGTACCTGCTAATATCGATGTCATAAAAAATCAATTAGCTACCTGTATTTGTAATCCCTTGTGTATTATACCTATATATAATTGTCTGTGGCAATGATTTTTTTGCAATTTTTCTGTAATTCTTTTTGAGTTAGTATTTACTTTTAAATAATCCACTAATTTCTTAAAATTATACACTAACTACAGATTTGCATCGAAGCAATTCTTATGATAGTGATTTTAATCATTGTCAGATATCATCTATACTAGACCCAACTATGCCACGATTACATAGTGCCGTGACCGCACTGTGATACCGTTTTTTAATTAAGAATTAGCTATTTTATAACTATGGAAATAGTTTTGACTTAAAAAATATAATTTCATGATATTAGTAACTTTTTAATTGTCTAAAATTTTCAGCTTGCGAGCTACTAAATTCTAAAATAATAGTATTATATATTTTTGATTGGGTTTAAAGAATATTCAAAAAATTTAAATGTTAGTTTATTATCAGAATTCGTATTAATCAAACTATATTAAACATTTTATTCCTTCTACACCTACCTTTTACCATTCCATCTACCTTTTAAATAGATAAATTTTATAATTATTTGACAGTAATTGTCTGAATAATATCGACATATAAAACTCATCAGTTACATCTCAGAAGTTACATTTAAAAATACACTCATACCTCCATCATCAAATAACCACCATACGTCTACAGTACTCTTTGGCTGGTAGTCTATAAACAAAAAACTACTGGTATGAATATTTACAAAATGCTCTATTCTATTTTCTATTGGTGAAATTTGGCGTGGACAATTTTTTTTCGGCATCGAGTTATTTCTTACTATTGATGGATATCGAACCATTAAAGTTGAAATTTCATTCAAACTAGCTTCACTAAAACAAAATAAATATCATAGAATGTTTAATAAAACTGATTCAAAAATAAACAAATTCTGCATAAGTTATCAAAGTCACAGAATAAGGACCGTATTCTTTCACGAGGATAAGATCAACAGACTTCAATGTTTTTTTTTTTAATATACATTTTTAAATTTAATCTCATTCGCTGTCAATGATAGTAAAAATAATAGTAATATTATATTATAAGACAAAATTATTAGGTTTCATGTTATTAAAATTCTTAGATTTCTTAAAAATATTTCTTGAAAATATAAAAATATTATTATAAAAATATAAGGGTTGCCACGAGTGTCGGTAAGGACATTGGAAAATAATTGTTGTATCAAAATATTGATTTTTTTAAAAAATTTGTTAATATCTTTAAGTTTTATATTTTTTTCTGAGAAATTTCTCTAAAATTACCCTTAAGTATGGTTAAATTAAATTTAATAGTAAAAAAAAGTCATTAGGATAAGAATTACTCCCCTTCTCCTTGGAAATTATCTTATGGGTGTCCTTGTAATAATATCTAATATTTGTAAAATGAATACCAGTTTTAATGAAATGGATAACTCATCAAATCTTAAGAGATTTTGCTTTGGCCTTGTGATATTTTCTTTTTACTTCATCAGTAATACAACTGGATATGATATAAAAAATAAGTTGGTTAAATTTTATTAATGAAAACGATCCTATTAGTCGACATTGATACCTTATTTTTATATTTTTTATTTTATTAATTGGTAGATGTAATTGAGTGTAAAAATATAATTATTTGATAAACTGTACTTGAAAACGTTCAAATAAGAATGAAGCTCATTGTCTGAGCTGTCAAGCCAATCTGTTTTGTAACCAACCAATACAATGTTTGGCCTGAGTTGTCCGTGACCGCACATGTATGTCATTCGAACTGCTTCGTCTAGTTTTACACTATCCAAAACGTTGTATAAACAATTCAATTTACAGGATTTTAACCATTCTATCCCTTTATCCAAAATAACTTGCCGTTCTTTGTGCGATAGTTTTTCCTATATTATACCATGTTACAATTAATCACTAATATGAAACAAAGTGTTACCATTGTCTAAGATTCAATAATTTAAAATTAGAAAAAAATAATTAAAGTGAATCCTGAAAATGTAGACCGCAGTAGGATTAAATAATTGTTACTCGTTACTAAAAAAGGGTGTTCGTACAATTTGAATTAAGTATTAGATTTATAATTGATGATATATTTTAAAGTAAATATATCTTTACAAAAACAATTAATAAATATTTTAGTAATTTAAGATTTTTTTTTTTTTAATTGTTAAAAATAATTTAATTATCATAGTGATAAAGAAAATAAATTTAAGTATAAATTAAAAGAAATAATTTTCACCTTTTCTACATTGATACACACTAATAAACCATTTTTGTTAGCTATTAAGTGACCTAAAGATATTAATCCTTTTCTTAGATTCGGTTCACCTGATAGCACAGTTATATTTGTTAAGTAGTTTTTGGCGTGATATTTTATTATGTACACATTACGCAAATTTTTCAATATGCTTTTGTATCGTTGAATTTTCATCGATGATCCCCAATTTACTTCTAGAAATAATAATTATCATATCAAACAATAACTTAATGATCATATTAAACTACGTTAATTAAACACAACCCTCTTTTTTCCTAGAAGCAATTTTGTATAATATCCAAATACCGACAAAAACAAACATTGACATTGATGGGTCAATTGATATCATTACACTAAGGCAAATTATTGATCCAGCAAGGCTTAGCCATTTGTTATAAAACTAAAAAAATTATAAATATTTAGAAAAATATTTTGACAAGCAACTATATCATACCTTATATGTAGGTCTCCACCCCACATGATTGAAGTGAGCCACATGAAACGTGCTCAAATTAAGAAGAGCGTAAGCGCATAAATAAATTGTAGACATAAATGATGCAGCTTTGTTGAGTTCGCCTTGAATAATTTATATTATTTTTTTAAAATTTGTAATTTGAAATTATAAATATAAATAAGAATGTATAATAAATAAATAGAATAAAATTACTTATCATAAAGAAGGTAGATGTAACCAATACAGCAAAAATATGTGCATGGTATGGTTCGTTTGTTATTCCGTATCCTTTTGCTAAGTATTTAAGTAGAGGGTAAACCTGATCCTGGCCCATTCGTTGTAAAATCTTAGGCACTGATATTAATGCAGTTAAGGCAGTGCTGATAGTTGCGCCAAAAGTTCCTAAGTATATAAGTACAGGCCAATAAGATATTGTCTGCATAAGCTAAAATTGAAAATCCATATGAGAAGTTATAAGATCTCTAGTTATTAATGATGTTTATATACTAATATAAGAATAAGTAATCATAATTACTCATAATATTATAATGGTTTCTGTAATGTTTTTAGTATGCATATATGCATACTACAATTATTATATAAACCCATTTAAAAATCATTGTATGAAATATTTTGTTTCATTTAGAAAAAAACTTCGAAATGAACTTTAAAAACTACAAGAAGCATGGTAAAAATATAATTACTTTTATAGAAAATAAAACAAAATGATTGAAATTTCCGGAATGTTCATATAATATAACACATATATTAATAAGCTATTGAAAATATAAATCATTCATTACTTTTATTTTTTGATAATAAGGTTTGGTTTTCTTAGAATGGACCTTAGATGATATTGATTTCAAATAAATAAATAAATAATGAATAATTTATTTATTATTTATTAAAATTTAAGGAGAAATATCTGTTTTTAATGTGCAAAATGTGTTTAAAAATAAATAATTTTGGTTATACGATGTACTACTTCTTTATTATGCAATAGATAATTAGGATAATATACGATATATTATATTGTATATACAACACATAAGTTCTTCTTATAATTTTATAATTACTTTTACATTGGAGTATAAGCCTTCTTTACATGCTGGTACAAGAGATGTAGAACAATTTAAATAAGTTCCATTGAATAATTCTTCAGGAATGCCACTTGCTTCTCTTAGATGAACTGAACCAATTACCAACACTAACATGATGTAAGACATTATTGTGATAAATATTGATAAAAGTGTGCCCTTAGGTATAGATGCGCTGGGATCCTATAACAGAACACGACAATTTTAAAGTTATTTATTAATTGTCAACTGAATGAAAGGACATTCGTGTATGCTTATAAAAATTGTTTTGAATTTAATAATTTGTGACTATTTATGGACAATTACTACAATTATTAGTAACAAAAAAAACTTTTATTTGAAAGATACTTTTAATACTTATGAGGTTAAGGGTTACACTGAGATTATTAGATAATATATAGATTTATATTAATTTTGATGTCAAATCATATAAGTTTTTAAGTAGTTGAACATTATAATGATCTTTTTTAAATTAACATAAAATAAATTTTCTAATATGTTAAAAGTCAAAATTTAATATCAAAAATTATATTATTTAAATATATTATTTGGAATAATAACAATCAAAGTATTTGATAAATAACCTTAAGATCGCCAGAAATGTTTGCTCCAGCTTGTATGCCAGTAACTGAAGGAAAAAATATTGAAAATACCGCAAAAAAAGATAGTTTAATGTGATTCTCCATTCTATAGTCTGGGTACCAATTTTTCATAAACGTTTCCACTAAAAATAATGTTTTTTAAAATGTGATAATTTGTAATATTTTTTAGATCTTACTGTTGTATCCAGTAAATCCAGACGCTTTCGCAGTTATGTTTGTTGGACCTCTAATTGAGCCAATATAAACATTAAAAATACCTATTATAATTGCGAAAAGTAGAATGTCTTGAACCTATTCAAAAAATTCACCAACATTTTATTATGATTAAAATAAAAAATCTTAATTAATAAAAATAATAATAATAATATTGAGAAATTTTTAGCTTCAATGCGAAGCTGAGAAGGTATTATTTTAACCATGATGTGTTTTTATTTTTTGACTGTTGCCACTTTTCTCTTAACTTTCACTGGAACGATTTCTTTCAATGATACGTCAAAAAATCAAAAATCGTATATAGTCGAAGACATTACCCTTAAAAATTGAAATAATTTCCTTCGTTCTTCGTAATCTCCAAAAAAATTACAATTTTTAAATTCGGTAAATTTTGTCATTTTTTTCACTTTTTTTTTAAACTTCCATAACTTTTTTAAAAATTAAGAAATCAACATAGTTTTTTTTATTGAAACCTTAGATGTTTCCCTTTTATTTTATATCATTTTTTTGAAAACCTAACACTTAAACTGCTCACAGGGGGGATTTAAAATAGCAACTTTTTTACAAAAACTAACTTTTTTAACTTATTTTTTTAAAATGTTTCGGAAATATTGACACTTTTATATATATCTTAAATTAAAGCTAATGTAGTACACTTTAATTTGAAAAAAAAAATTTTACTTCTGGATTTGTCTTCATGGTGAAAATGACTAGCGTATTTAAAAATATGCTATTTTTGTGTTAAAATTCTGTGGTTTGTATTTTATTTTATTTTAAAATAAATGACAAGGGGATTACACTGATTTTCATAAATATTATATAATTCAAATTGATATAGTACAGAAAAATAAATTTATTTAAATTTTTTTGCTTTTTTTAAGTAGAGAAAAATAATATTGAAATTCGAACTAGCTTAAATTGCCATTTATTTCAGTCGACGGAAGCGACTTTTGCCGAATCGGTAACACTTGTGTCTTACGCGCTTGGGGACAAGGTTCCAACCCCTGTATTGCAAGGAAATTTTTTGCATTTTTTTTTAAATTCTTTTTAAGTTTCAACTCATTTGATTTTTATCAAATTTCAAGAAGAAATTTCTTATTTATATTAAAATTATTTTACTATATTTTAGGTTTTAGCTTCGATGCAAAACTGAGAGGGTATTTTTTTGTGACTATCATTAATTTTCTCTACTTTTTTCAACGATACGTCAAATGAATTATAAAATTGTATATTATATAATTATATATTATATTTTTGAATCTAAGAATTATTAATCATGTTATAAATAAGAAAATAGGAGTTCATTTTGCTTTTGTAATTATTCACCAGTTTCTTAGAAATTTTCTTCATAAAAATTGCTATACTAAATTATTAAATATTAATTTCATATTACGTTGTATTGTTATAATAGATATTTATTCATATATTATAATAATAAGTTAAAGAACTACTAACCAGGAATAATGAATGAAATAGGAATTAATTTTCCTTTTGGAATAATTCTTCAATTTCTTAAAATTAAACACTATCTACAGATTTGCATCGAAGCGTTTCTTATGATAGTGATTTTAATTACTGTCAGATTAAATCTACAGTGGATTCAACTATGCCACGTCTCCACTGTGCCGCAACTTCACTGTGCTGGGTTTTTTTGGTTTCTTATAGGTACATAATTTTTTAAATCATAAATCATAAAGTATTTTTATGATCATCCCTTATAAGGTTGTCAACTTAATTTTTTGAAATGGTAACATACATAATTAACTAGCTTATTTAATAAATTATATTTTTTATTAATAAAGTGCATCATGATAAGTAAATCAAGCTTTATAATGTGTAATTTTAATACATATGCATAATAAATATATTACTTACTATTGCTTCTCTATCCATTCCGATTGCACAAGTTATGCCCATTAGAATTATTAAAGATATTCCAACAGCTTTAAACCCAAATTCATTATCCATTATGTATATATCATAAGATTTTAGTAATAGGTTTAAAGATAGACAAAAGCCAATAGTATTGATAGCGGATGAAATAATGTTTGCAAGTGCTAAAAGAATACCAATTGAAGAACCAAATTCCGGTCCAATTGATCTGGAAATTATAAAATAAAGACCCCCTAAGAGAGGTTTTTATAACACTTATTTTACTGGAATATTATTGGTAATAGAATAATGTTTTATAGTATAAATAAATTACCTCCTCTTATACGACCATTTGTACTAATTGCAGATAATGAAAATGTTGTAATTAGAATTATCGTTAGAGAAATCAAAATTATAATTATTGAGTCCCGTATACCAGCTTGCCCAACAATCCATGGGAGTCGAAGAAAAAGCATGACACCCCAAATGCTTAATAAGCATGGTATTAATACGCCTTTTATCCATCCTAATTTTACTCCTTTACCAACGTCAATTTTTTTTTCCTCGTCATCGACTAATTTTTCATACGACTGAATCTAATTAAAAAAATATTTATTTAGAATTGCACTGGAGATAAAAAAAAATAGTTTGTACTATATTTTTGGGCATAACATGATAGATTTTTTTTTAATTAATGGACACCTGTTAAAGAGAGTGTAATATCTTAGAGTCCCTGTTAGATCCACTCCTGGTACTATAGAATAATGGTGAATTTAAAGAAGATAAGACGCTAAGGATTTATTTTTGTTATAGTATTAGATATGTAATAAAATGATCAAATTTTTTATAGATGAAGTGGTTAGAAGTGTTAGACATTTTGTACAATCAGAAGATTTNGAAGTGGTTAGAAGTGTTAGACATTTTGTACAATCAGGTTTATTGTTAAACTTTACAATACCGAGATAGGTTGACAATAATGTACAGATTAGAGTGCTGTGTCAAAGATAGAAAAATAGATGGGAAGATGTGTGCTGCGTAAATGAGAATTTAACGTGGATGTATGGTATGACTAGATGATAAATGTTATTTCCAAATATAGATTTATTGCTTATTAAAAAATATGTAAAAATATTAAGATTAGAGTATTAATAAGTCGTTCAGATCAAAATGCAAAAATTAAAAAAAAATTTAGAAGTGTTGTTTACATCTATTTGATTTTTAACCAATATACAATTATATTAGTTTATATCAACTCAAGTGTATTATTATATAGTTAATATAATACCAACACTAGAATATTATAAATAATCATTTTATTAATAATCATTGAGAGATGTAGGAGAAAAAAAAATTGAATTTTTCTCATATGAATTATTGGTGAGATTCTAATCAGGTGAAAAATCGAAAATCATAATAGAGTATTGCATTTAGTTGTAAATTACCACTTTTTTTGTCCATCTCTTTTCAAAGTTTAACGTGATGAGTAAAAATAAAGACTTTTAACTAAAACGTATTACTTAAATAAAAAAATGAAGGAGGCATCTAATGAGGTAAGCATAACTTTGTTTTTTAGATCATAATTAATACATTTTTTATTCAAATAATAAGCTTGATTTTATAGATATTATAATACAAAATTAATAAATTTTTAAACGATTAAAATTAATCAGGTAATTTGTATGATAATTATCGTAAATAATAGTTATTTTCTTTGTTATTGTGTAAATAGTTAATTATAATTACTTGATTAATCCATTGAGTATCATGTTTTAAAAATTTTGTTTCACTTATTTCACTCATGTTTACAAATCGACCCTACGAGAAAGACTAGATAGTACTGTCATTATAAAACATTAATATAATACTATGTATAGCAGACTCGGAAGGGGAAGTGTTTAGGAAGTCAGTTAGCCCACAATTATTTTATAATTATAAAGTGCAAAATAATTTATGTTTGTGCACAAAATGTATGTAGTTATTTCCATTAAGAGCATAAAGTTACTTATTTTTATTATTTTTGTATTATTTTTTATGTCCATAACAATCAATAAGCTATAATTTAATGTCAAGTGAAATTCGATTACTGATTTTTTTACAAAAATATCTTTTAGAAATACAATAAAATTATAGTTTACCAAACACAACTTTGAAATTAAACAAAAAAAGTCAATAACTCAAAGTATCTTTCATAAAAAGCCATAGCAAATGATTTGTCATATGATTTAAATATTTATTTTCTCATAAGATCTAAAGCTAGATCTATGTGTAAAAACCAGGAAACAAACTAAATACTGAGCCTAATTAAAAATTTTATGAACCTCAAAATTAAATAACAGATTTTTCAATGCGAATAAAATGTTTTATTGTAATATGAAATTAATCATTTAATCTTATCTAAAATTATAATATATTTAGTGACATCAACTCAAAACCAAACTAACTAGAATAAATTTGATTAAAAAAACTTAAATTCATACAACTTTTAATTTTCAATGAAACCTCAAACTTTTTATATTATAGATTATACAGTTGGAAAAAGAAAAATTTTTGCTTAAACATATTTTTTATATTTTCAACGAATTACAGTGATTTAAAGTTTTAAGGTGGTTAAATATAATGCGTAATTATTTTTAAAAGATGGTATTTTTATTGGGTCGTAAATTGATAGGTGCTACCGGTTTATAATATATTAGGGTGTACAATTTATTGTATTTTTTTGGACTGGTAGTGATTATCGATATACAACATGATAATGTTTGTGTTTAAAAAATAAGTACGATTTTTTATATCTTAATTGTTAGAAAAAATAAAATAATGTTTAGCTTTAATATTTTTGAAGATATTTTATGTGGAATAGTTAGGAATCATATAAAAACAATATTTTAAAGTGCCTTTTATAGTTTTAATAACACCCTTTTAGTTCTGCTATAAGTTATGAGACCGGGTCATAAGTTATTTAATAATTTGATGATTTAACATTTTTTATCTTTATCGATTTATTATTGTGGTTTTGTTATGAAATATAGGGGCGAATTGAATTGGGATCCTAGGGAGCTGGAGTATCCTTTTGAGATATGTTAATCGTACTGAAGAACAGTTAGAGTCAAAAAAAGGATAATCAGAACCAAAAACTTTTTCCTAAATACTTCCTATAGGAAAATGATACATTGATTCTTGATGAAATACAACGCTGCAAGTCATTCTTTTAGTTCACCTTATATGATGTTTTCTTACACATATACTTAGAATTTGTGTGATACATTTACATGGTAAAGTAAATAAAAGCTTTACTAATAAACATAATTGACAAACGAATATAGCTAGATATTTAGTTGATTAAATTTTTCTTAAAAATTTTATATAAACTAATAATAGTTGTTAAAACTTTTTGCATGCAAAGAATAATTTTATTTTTCTATCAAATATTCATAGCGTAAAATTTTACGATATGAATACTATAAAATACTTGTAATCTTTACTAAAGAATTGTATAGAAAAAAATAAACACACATTATTTACCATAACAAATAGTATGATATTTAGTAAGTTACGAAAAATAATTAATGAAAATTAAAGTTACGCCTTTGAAAGGTATGTTAGTAAGTACTGTGCCAACAGTTAAAAAACTATTCATATTTATATCGTGTAACAATAGTACTGGTTCAACGTATATAATATATTAATTAGTCTCGTGCGATTTTCGGTTATCATTTATGAACATTTTCGATGTTCTCCAGAGAGTTATAAAATTTATTTATCATAACCCTGGACATGATGTATAATTTGACATTTCTATAGAAAATGAGTTATAAATACATAAATACTTTAAAGTATATCATGTAAATGCATTTTTTATTGTTTAAACAACAAAAAATTTGTAAATATATCTATGTGAATTCAATGTAAAAGTTAATTAATTTGATAATTTCTATTTAATTTACTCAAATGCCAAAACTAATACACATGCAATGCATTTTGTTGCTTTAACTATGCTTATTGATGTATGATATCGTGTGTATTTAAACAAAAATCATCAAATAAAAGAATTAGTGTTACACTACGAATTTTTAACTTAATATACAACTATACATTTTTTTAAAACTTTTTTCATGATATTTTATGAAATTTTGTAATTTTTGTATAAAAATTATTATAATATCATTACTTTTCTATAATTGTGCTGAAATAATAATTCTTGTTAAAAGCAACCTTTTTACAAATGTTACATTAATAAAAAAAAGTTTAAACTAAATCATAAATGTACTTTTAAATCTAAATTTCTTCAAAACCTGGTTTTAAAATGATTGATTAAAGTATCGTTTCAATGTAAATTTAACTAATTATTATACTAACTAAAGATTCTATTTATTCTAACTTTACTTCATGATTATGTAGTTTGTGTCTACAATTTAAATAGTAAGAGAGATACACAATGCAAGTTAAATTAGAACACCATTATATTTAAAAGCTAATTTATTATTATTACAATTAAAATTGATCAAATTTATTTTATACATAAATTACTAGAACTTGTCTTAATATAGTACAAAACGCTTATTATTATATTATAATTAAATAATTATAAATTACATTTTCATCTAAAAAAAAAAATAGTGCTGTATAGGGATTTGTTTTTATTCGTAACAATATTTTTTGTTATTAACTGTTATTATAATTATAGTGCTTTGGTTGATTTTAAAGATTTTTTTAGTTGATACTAAAAAAAATATTTACTCTAAAAATAGTATGATTAAGGTAATAAAAATTATATTAATACAAAAACATTATATGTTAGCGAAAATAAACTTAGACATGTAAATTTAAAAGTTTATGTTTTGATACTAGTTTTTACCATTACTGAAATTATTGAGTACGATAAATTTACCACCTGAAATAAATTTTAATTTCTTAAATAAGTAAGCATATTATTCATGTATGTAATATATAAAATTTAGAGGTCAGATTTGAAGACAAAAAAACTATACTGTTTACTAATTAAATAAATTCAACTTATTTTATAACCAAACATTGATTTGATAAAAATTTTTATTACTAGATTATTAATTCATACAGTCTGCTAGCAAACGACTTGTTAAAAATTTTAAATGTTTTAAAATAATATAATCGTTATGTAATTTTAAATAATCAAACAAACCTATTTTAAAGAAAATTTTATTTAAAAAATAAACGACTTTCAATATTTATAAAATATAAAATAATATTACAAATTTTTTCAATAGTTTTTTTTATCTTCTAAGAGGTGAATAATGAGTTTTCTAAAAATTTTCATTTTCATATTTTCTTAGCTATGGGGTATATTTCTAACTATAACTAAAATTAACGTGCGAGTACGTGTGTTAATATAAATGAGTGTACTGTAAGTGACTTTATGATAGTAAAGGTGTGTTGCAATGTGCGATTTATTTTGAGAAATACTGAATTTGTTATCTTATCCTATATTACCCTATTATACAGAAAATTAATTAATTATTTTAGTTAATTAAATAATTTACTCTTGAAAACAATTCTAAATTCACATATTTTGTTGGTGTCACTTTTATTGCGATGTTGTGTGCATTGTTCATGTTCATTGCTAGGAGTAAACTTTTTTTAAAATTAATATCTTTATTAGTCCAATTACAACTGTACATAGCAAAATTCATACTTGATTCCTTTGCATTAAAATTAATAAAAAAATGTTTAAATAAAATTAATCTTAACACACAATATTATAAGATATGTTTTATATTTTGATTTTGAAATTAACCTGATATTCCAACTGTCCAAAAAAATAACAAGATATGTATAAATTTAGTAGTATTGCAAACGCTGTTGATAATAAATTTAATGTATTGAATGATGTCTTATTAGTTGAAAAAATATTCTGCAAAAAATAATATTTGAAATATTAAACTTTTATGATAAATACTTTGTAGAAACAAAAGTATCTATGTATTACGTATGTAGAAACCTATCCTTCTATTTGATGTCAATGATTATTTTATTTGTTATTCCTTTTTCAAAATTGACCCTTATATTATATTTTTGTTCTTTTTGCAAATATAATTAAACATTTTTAATACATAATATCATCATTATTTAAGTGAGATTAATAAATTTTTAAAAAAGAAAATTTCAGAATTAATCATGTTTCACAACTTGTTTTTGTTCGTGTTATCATATATCATAATTTTCATGAATTCATGATACTGAATAATAGTTCATAAAATTTTTATATACACAATAATTATATTTTTAATTTGCATTCCAAGTATTCTTACCGAAATAAAAACGAATGTCGTTATTATGAAGATATTTGAATTAATTGCTAATTGAATGATCGTCTGGGGTTTGGTAAATTGATTAAATTTCTTTATCATGCTAAACAGAAAAAAATATATATTTTTACATATTATAATTATTATAATAGGAAATCTAAGAATAATGATGTTTAAAACATTTTTATTTGGAGTTAAATGATGTCAAGTTCTTACATGATTTTCCAATGAAAAATTTGTAGGGGTTTCCACTTACATTATTTCTGATTAGTTATATTACATGCCAAAAATATTTTTATTGTAAAATGAGGCTTTGTAATTTATATTTATTTCAATGTGAACAGTCCCTATAACGTTTTTGACAATTGTAAAATTAATTCTATTTGTAATTATTGGGGCCAACTTTAGGTAAGAGTAAATTCTAGATAATCTGACCCACCAAGTTCTTTTTAACTACACACCTAGCTTGTAATATTTTTAATGATAAAGTTTTATTGACGAATATTTGACAATTATTATTCTCTTTTTGACTTATAATTTGTTTTACTACCTATAAACCAATAAAATATTATGTTGTTTTTTTACAAAAGTTACCTCTTTGTGTTCGACTACGTGTAAAACTTTATATATGTATCTTATTATATAATAAAATATTAAAAAATGTAGCAATGCTGGAAAAACTTAATAATTTCCAATTTTCAATTAATTTTTTTGAATAAGAGAGTATGGTGATATTATTTTGGGAAAATTATTTGCGTAGATGAGAAAAGTTTTTTTAACACTCTGTGATCGTTAAAAATTTTTGGGATTTTTTGAGAAAAATGCTCATTGCCTCTATTTTTTCTTTTATTTAAAACTTAAAATATTTTCTAGATATTCCAGAGGTACCCTGAAAATGTCGTTAAAATCCGTTAGTTTTAGTCTGAGTTATGAGCTTTTTTTCATACTTATATTTTTATTTAGACATCGTTTTGTTTGTATGCCTAATGTGCTAAATAATAATTAGTTGATTTTTATTAAATGTAATATTTAATACACATTTTGTATTTTTTTTTTTTTGTATTCATATAATAAGACATCAAGACATTGAAATATTATATTACGGGGTATATTTTTATAATCATTTATATTATTTTAATGTATTGAAACTAGTGAAGGGAAATATCGAATAGTAACTATCGAACTATTTAATAGTCATTCAAAAAATATTCGATAGTTTATGCTAAAAATAAACTATTCGGTTGTACAAATAATTCAAATAGTTTTTCGATAATTTTAGAAAACTATCGAATATTATTCAATAGTTTAAAATATTCGAAAATGCCTATCACTAATTGAAACTATAGTTTATTTATCTCAGCATTTAAAGTATAATTATTTCATTGGAGTTTGACATTATTATGCAATTTTTAATCCAACATTAACTTTAACTTTGATTTCAAATAAAACAATGTTATACTCTCACATTCCTTATCTTCATTATCATCAAATTATAATTTTCATTAATATATTTGTTATAATATATCAGTACAAGCATAAATTTACTTTTATATTTGAAATATTATTATATCATTGTGATGACATCAGGCAACAAATGTGAAATTTTACCTAAATATTTTGCTATTTATTCTTTTTTAATTTACTATTTTAACAATTAAATGTTTACTATATTTTTTCAATACTGATCCAGAAGCATAGGCGGACATTTAGTTATATTTTGAGGGGGGCTAACTTTTTTTACACAAAGTGACAAAGTGGACCAGAAGTAATAATTTTTGTGTAAAAGACTTATTGTGACCAGTATAGTCGGGTACTCCTACCGGAATCTGAGGTCTACTCGTTATTTACTTTCAAATTTTCATAAAGATAATAAGAAAATCAATTTGGCGGACACGATGAAATTGAATTTTATTGAATTTTTCCGAAACTGATGTACATGCTTGATGATTTAGTTAGAAGTATATATTAATATAAGTACATATTTTTAATAGAACCCATCACATTTGACATACGTGTTAAATTAATAATTTTTTAAAAATAATATTGGTAATAAATCAATATAATTAAAAATATAAGGTTGAAAAACTAATTCGTGTGAAATACATTAAATTAGCTTACTTGTTTACTTTAATATGATCCTTGATTAATAATTTCAGAATGTCAGTTGATATCACACTATTTTTCAACTCTATTTTTAAACAATTACAAGTTATACTATAAATATTAACAAACCATTACAGAGGACAGTAGATTTGAGTGTTATGTTAGAAAAAAATTATTTTACAGTTTTTGTAAGAATAAAAATGTTAAAAAACTTGTGAGTAGATTTACTATAAATATTTTTATTTTTACGAGTATTTTGCTATAAAAATATAATAAAGTAATTAATATTATTAATTATTTAAGCAAATAATAATCATTTAAATATGTTAACAAAAGTATATACAATAATGAAATTTGGCTGTAAAAACTATTAACTATAAATAAAGACAGGAGAAATAAAATTAAAAATTGTTTTTATTTTACTTGCCATTTGTTAACGTTTCACGACCAAAAGTTTCGTACCTAGAAGCAATAGTTTTTAATTGTGCTGATAATATCCAACATAAGCTCATAGTGAATACATCATAAACAACCACAATTAACATAGCATGAGTCACATTAACTGCTTCAATTACATAGATTACAAGGTATAAGTTTTCATAATTTTCAATGGGCACAATACCAATAAATGCATTTAAAATATTGTATCGGTAAATTACTCGATTGCCACTCTTAATTTTTACGGAATATTCTTTAATGAATATGGGAATAAATATCCATATCATCCATGATATAAACCATACTAATGAGTAAGCATTCGACAATTTAGTGCACTTTTTTTTAAATTTAAAAATAATATCATTATTATAATCATCGAAAGATAAAAAATCATCTCTCATAACATTAAATAATTCCCAAAACTCATTTGGTTTTTTAATGAATCTTATGACTTTAATTGTCGATGTGCAAATTGCCAAAATAATCAATATCATTTGAACGCATGCATTTAGGTCATTAGATAAATAATAATATCCTAAAATGCAACAAAATGCAGTAATAAATTCAAAAACTAATGGTATTAATAAAATGAATAATATAACAACGTGACTCCATTTGGTAAAAATGTGTAAATTCAATGAATTAAATATCAAGTGAAGTCTGCCAATTTTCATTAGTCGGTAGTTTAGTATATTTTTTTTCTTAACGCTCTTCATTTATAATTTTAGTTTCTTTGAAAATAGTAAATTTCCTGTAAAAAAAGAAAAATAAATAAAAATAATTTATTTTTGAAGTCTAAATACTAAAATGAAATAAACATAAACAGGATAATACTGTTGTCATGAAAACTTAGGTTAGCTCAAATAATTTTAATTTTATTTCTTAGTAGCATATTTTTTATTTTCTCAATTATTAAGTCAATTTTATCTATTTTAAGAATATTAAATTTATTTTTTAAAGAATAACATACATATTTAAACAGCTTATAAACAATATCGACTTGTCAAAAATAATTTTTGAACTATTATTTCAAAAAAATAGTTTAAAAAACCTAAAAAACACGCTTTTAAAGTATATCGAACTAAAAACTTAAAAATAATTTTTAAAATATACATAAAACAATAATAAACAAAAAATATTAGTATTATTGTGAAAAAAAAACTAAGGGCGCTCAATATACGAAATATATGGCTCAAAATCCCTATGCTATTTTTTACAATAATACTAGTATTTTTTGTTCATTATTGTTTTAAGCTTATTTTAAAAATTATTTTTAACTTTTTAGCTAAATATGATTTAAAAACATGTTTTTCAGTTTTTAGCTTCGATGCGAAGTTGGAAGGTATTAATTTTACCATGATGTGTTTTTTTTTTTATGTCTGTTTTTCTCAGCTCTCACTGGACCGATTTCTTTCAACAATACATCAAAGATCACAAATCGTATCTAGTCGAAGACATTACCCTCAAAATCGAAAAAATTTTCCTCGTTCCCCGCAAATAGGGGAAATATCCAAAAAAATTACAAATTTAAAAATCGCTAATTTTCGACATTTTTCAATTTTTTTCACTTAAAACTGCCATAACTATTTATAAATGACCAAATCAATATAATTTTTAGCTTCGATGCGAAGCTGAGAAGGTATTAATTTTACTATGATGTGTTTTTTTTTTTATTTTTTTTTTTGTGTCTG